AAAGGGGATGGAGCAGTGGGATTTGGGAATTCCAGCCCAGAAAGGGGATGGAGCAGTGGGATTTGGGAATTCCAGCCCAGAAAGGGGATGGAGCAGTGGGATTTGGGAATTCCAGCCCAGAAAGGGAAGCCCATCCCCTTGGCTATTCCTCAAGAACGTGGTTCCAGGGCAGCCCCAGGTGGAAGTTGGATGTGGATGCAGAGCTGGAGTCGCTCCTCTGAGGGGTCCCAAGTGCCACTCGAGTTCCAGGAGCCACCTCAGCCTTTCCCAGGATTTCGGAATCAGTGACTGGAGCACCTGGAAGGGGGTAAAACAACCCCAACGAGCCCTGTTTGCAAAGCCATCAGTGGTGGGATGACAGGGGGGGTTGGGGTGGAATTGTCCTGCTTTGGGGATGGAATTATCCTAAAACCAGTTTGACTCATTAATCCCAGAGTTAAACATCCTGAGAATGAGGTGAAAATGTGCAGATACGGGAAAATATCCTTATCTAAAAATGGTAAGGACCTGACTGACAGTCCATCAGATAGATATGATTTTATACTATATAATATAATTTATGTATTTATAAATATATAAATTTATATAAAGCTATATATTTATATATTATATATATTTTATATATTATATGTTTTTATATATTATATATATTTTACATATATATATATAAAAGTCCAGTCCCACTTTCAAACAGCAGATTAAGTCCATCATATATATATGATTTTATACCATATAACATGTACTTTATATGATAAAAGTCCAGTCTCTCAAACAGCAGGTTAAATCCATCATATATATATGATTTTATTCTATATAATATATATACTGTTAGTTTTAACTTCTAGACTGGGTAATAAATAATCCTGATTAAGATCTTTTTGTCTAATCATTTATCATAATAAATAATTCATTTCATATTATTCATATTTATATAAATTTATTATATTATATAATGATGTATTGTATTATTTTAGTATATCAATTTATAGTTATACAAGTTGTTTAATACAAAATTTAATTTGTTATCAAAAAGTAAAATTTAATTTCATATATTTGATTTATTTCTGTAATATTTGAAATATTTATAATAATTTTATTTATATAATCACAAATATTTGTATTTTATTTATAATATTTAGTATATGTAGATGTTAAATTTTTATATTATTATATTTCATTTTTGATTTATATTATTATTCCCTTAGACTTAAATCATGGACTAAGTCTGGGGCTAAGACTGGGACCAGCTCCCTAGACTCCTCTGGGATGAGTCATGGGGGGATTTTGGGGTTGGGGGGGGTTGGGGTCCTTTTTTGCACCTCCTGACTCAATGGGAGCCTCTCTAATAAACTTTGTGTGAAGCTCCCACTCCCCCCACCAGGGCTGAGCCCAGCCCAGTGACATCGAGCCCAGTTCATCAGCACATTTGCAGATGACACCAAGCTGGAGGGGAGTGTCGATCAGCTGGAAGGCAGGAGGGCTCTGCAGAGGGACCTGGCCAGGCTGGATCCATGTGCTG